GTTCTAACCTCTTCTAAAGAAGAGGTTCTACAAATCTACAGTGCCGTTTAGAACTGGTTCCAGCTCCCTCCCCCCGCCCATCCGCACATCATCAAGATGAAGAGCGAGAGGAGGAATTCTGGGAGTTGAAGTCCACAAATCTTAAAGCTGTCAAGTTACAAGACCCTCGCACCCCTAACCCTTTTGGAAAAAAAAATCCCAGGGGTGTTCAAACCTGACAGCTTTAAGATTTGTGGACTTCAACTCCCAGAATTCCTCCTCTCGCTCTTCATCTTGATGATGTGCGGATGGGCGGGGGGAGGGAGCTGGAACCAGTTCTCAACGGCACTGTAGATTTGTGGAACCTCTTCTATAGAAGAGGTTAGAACTGGCAGGAACCCACCCTTCAACTCAACTAAAGCGATGGGCACCTTTTCCTACCAAGCGCGGGACTTTAGGAGGAAAAGGGTGTGATCTTCCTTGGCGCCACTAGATGGTGCCCACGGCCTGATGGCAAGGCAGGTGGCCATCTTGCACGGAAACATTGCTGGAGCCAAAGGCTTCTGTCTTAATATTCCCTGCGCAGCTCAGGATCCCATCCGCCCCCTCGTCTCCCTTCCTCTCTGGCTTCCATCCTCCCATCTCCTTCACGTTAGAAGCGCTTTGTCTCCAAGGTGCTTTTTCAAGAGGCAACTGGACTCTCTGGTTTTTCCTTGAAGACGGGTCGCTTCCCATCCCAGACGGTTCTTCAGCTCTATAACTTCTTGGATGAGAAGTGACACATCTTCAAGGAAACACCTTTGGGACAACCATGACCTAGAGGACTGAGAATCTCCATAGAAAGCTTGTGGGTTTCATTCCAGGGCTCTCTGTTGACAAGACAGGCCTAGTGGGAGGAGGGCAGGTGGCCACCCATAGCAAAGGGGGACCCCTTTGCTTCTAAGCCGGGAAAGAAAGGGGGCGAGTAGCTGCCACACGTCACCTTAGAGCAGTGTTTCTCAACCTTGGCAACATTCAAAGGTGTGGCCTTCAACCCCCAGAATTCTCCAGCCAGGAGGTGAAGTTCACACTTCTTAACAGTTGACAAGATTGGGAAAGTCTGCTCAGATACTAGCTGCTCATGGAGCATTGATAGATCTATTACTGATCGATCGATCGATTGACTGACAAGACTCAGCCTAATAAAACCTAGGTCTAAATCAGTGGTGAAATTCATTTTTTTTTTACTGCCGGTCCTGTGTGCGTGGCTGGTTCTCCGAACTACTCAAAATTTCTGCTATTGTTCTCCAAATTACTCAAAATTTCCACTATCGGTTCTCCAAGCTACTCAAAATTTCTGCTACCTGTTCTCCAAACTACTCAAAATTTCCACTATTGGTTCTCCAAACTACTCAAAATTTCCGCTATTGGTTCTCCAAACTACTCAAAATTTCTGCTACAGTTCTCCAAACTACTCAAAATTTCTGCTACTTGTTCTCCAAACTACTCAAAATTTCCACTATTGGTTCTCCAAACTACTCAAAATTTCCACTATCGGTTCTCCAAACTACTCAAAATTTCTGCTACCTATTCTCCAAACTACTCAAAATTTCCGCAATTGGTTCTCCAAACTACTCAGAATTTCTGCTACAGTTCTCCAAATTACTCAAAATTTCCACTATCGGTTCTCCAAACTACTCAAAATTTCTGCTGCCTGTTCTCCAAACTACTCAAAATTTCTGCTACAGTTCTCCAAATTACTCAAAATTTCCACTATCGGTTCTCCAAACTACTCAAAATTTCCGCTACCTGTTCTCTGAACTACTAAAAATTTCCACTATCGGTTCTCCAAACTACTCAAAATTTCTGCTACAGTTCTCCAAATTACTCAACATTTCTGCTATCGGTTCTTCAAACTACTCAAAATTTCTGCTATCGGTTCTCCAGAACCTGTCATAACCTGCTGGATTTCACCCCTGGTTTAAATCTAGTAGAAGATGGATTGGTTAGCTGAAATGCATCTGTCAGGTCTGCAGACACTTGCTTTTAGGATCTTTGGCCTGCCACACTATTATTTTACTATGCTTTTTCATTTGTGGAATTGGGAGGGGGAATAGTAAGGAGTAGAATGTGTTCTTGTCAAAATAAAAGAAATCCTTTCTAGAAGCCCAAGGTCATCCTTTGTCTATATCTCTGCACCTGACCGGAACTGGATGGGTGGAAGCTGCCAGCGTGGCAGTGGGTGTTTGGACCATGGGATGGACTTGTGGGTGTGGAGGACAAGATCATGAACTTTCAACTGGGTGGGAACCCCGGGAAGCTTTCAGATTCGGGTTTCCCACAGATGTGCCAACGTGTCTCTCTTAATAAATTGTAACTTTGATGAAAGCTCTGCCTTGGACTCTGATTTAATTTTGGATGATATTTGGACCCCTGACAGCATCATTTTAAACATGCAATACTAAACAGGTAACCCCACAAATGAAACCAAGGTTCCTCTTGAATCAACTCTTCCAAGCCTTTGAAGGAAAATACTTTTGGTTTTCAGCAGCAGTTGATTATCTGCTGATTATTCAGCCCAGATCACACAAAGGTCTGGAACTTGCTGTTTTAGGACAATTGTGATTTTCAACAGACACCCACCCACCCACCCCCGCCACCCTTTGAGGACAAGGCCTCGGTGGTACAACAAGAGCGACGGCTTACCAATCGAAATTGTCCAGACAGCGGCAATCTTCATGATGGCCTTGGTGCGGGAGTTGAACCGGCTGTGTTCGATGGGGTTGCGGATGGCGACGTAGCGATCGAGGGAGATGGCGCAAAGGTGCATGATGGAGGCCGTGGAAAAGAGCACATCTAGGGAAATCCAGATGGGACACAGTTGTTTAGGCAAAGGCCAGGCATAATCTGGAAGAGAGAGAAGGGAGAAGCGAGGAAGGAGACGTGAGCGGAAGGGGGCTCCAGCCCAGAATGGAGGGAGGGAAGAAGGAGGAGGAGGAAGAGGAAAATCTCCAGTCACTCAACCACAAGTTGGGTACCACCATTGGGTGATGCTAGGGCAAAGCACCTGGCAGGCAGGAGGGACCATATCCACTAAAGCAGAGGTCTTCAAACTAGGCAACTTTAAGACTTGTGGACGTCAACTCCCAGAATTCCCCAGACAGCATAACTTACTCTCTTGTAATCCCTTCCTCTGTAATCT